CTAATGAGATGGATGAAACTGGAGCCCATTATACAGAGTGAAGTAAGCCAGAAAGATAAAGACCATTATGGTATACTAACACATATATATGGACTTTAGAAAGATGGTAACGATAACCCTATATGCAAAACAGAAAAAGAGACTCAGATGTATAGAACAGACTTGTGGACTCTGGGAGAAGGCGAGGGTGGGATGTTTCAGGAGAACACCATTGAAACATGTATATTATCTAGGGTGAAACAGATAACCAGCCCAGGTTGGGTACATGAGACAAGTGCTCAGGCCTGGTGCACTGGGAAGACCCAGAGGGATCGGGTGGAGAGGGAGGTGGGAGGGGGTACTGGGATGGGGAATACATGTAAATCCATGGCTAATTCATTTCAATGTATGACAAAAACTACTGTAATGATGTAAAGTAATTAGCCTCCAACTAATAAAAATAAATGGAAAAAAAAAAGAAAAAAAAATAAGATGTGATATCACCAAATTCAGCTTTTGACAGACAGGATAAGATGGATGTTGTGTAAGGAAGAAATGTAATTCACATATATTTGAATACACTTACGAAATAACCTCAATTTATGCCTTGAATGGCATAGATGCTGAAACTCTAATCTTACCTCTTCCCCCTCCTCCCACCCGTTGTAAAAAGAAAGACAAAAACAAGGATGAGTATTAACTATGATTATTCACTATATTTAAAACCTCTACAACTTGGCAAGAGTGTGTACTAAACTGCGGTTCAGTAAAAAGTTAGTGGGACGCCTGGGTGTACTTTACTAAGGAAATAAACATCCTGAGTGCAGCAGTGAGCTATCTGAAATATTTTGGTGAGGTTTATTATCCTGCCTTGTGTTTTGAAATGAACCACAAAGTTCAATGTGAAATCAATCTTGAAACATGGCATAATTTATCTCGTGCACATTGCTAATCTCTGCTTGTCCACAGGCTCAGTTCCTGACTTTCCTAACATGTCTGCAGTACCTGAAACTCTAGATGATGATGCGATGGACCCACAGCATTTTATTTATTAGAGAAAACTTGGCTGAATCGACCAGATTCCTGCAGTTGGACTATAATACACAGCTGGATAATTGGAAAACTTTCAAATATCCATTGGGTTGTTTTCATTCAGAGTTCTGATGTCAGATAGATGGTGTGTGTGTCTGTGTGTGTGTGCATGCATGCGTGTGTGTGTGTGTGTGTTGAGCAGCCACTGCAGAAAATCAGAATAAATGAGACGTATTAATTAGTACAAGATGACACAAAATCCAAAAAGGCAATGTCCCATCTACTTCAAAATACTTGATCAAAATGGGTCAGAAGAACTGGATAATTATCTATTAATGGGATAACCATCCTGTTTTGAAAAGATGAAAGTAAATCTTGGAGAGAGCAACATTACCATCTCTAATTTCCTATTTCTGTCCCCTCTGCCCCAAATCTGACTATCTTCATGAACAATAAGGTAAAGCTCTAAGGCTACACTTAATTATATTTATTGCAGGTTGAATGTTATTCCTATTTTATATACTACAACTCGAAACTGTCTGGACTTTACAATATTATTACCCTGCTCTCCCCCCTTTTTACATGAAGACATTTAGACTTTATTTTTTTAAACATGAGTGCTTAAAATAAGTTCACATTTGTTGTTTGAGATGCACAGAGTCTCAAACCCTAGCACGTACATTTAGGACTAAGCTACAAATGTCAGAAGCCACAGATTTAGGAAAACATAATAAACAGCTCTCCAGGTCTTTTTGAAGGTAAATACAAACCATGTACCTATAAAAGTGCACTCTCCCTTCAAGGGTAGGACCAGCACTTTGCTTTGGGAAGTGGCAAAGCCATCTGGAAATTTCATGGCCTCTCAGTGTCTGCAAGGTCACTTAAGGGCCTGTGTGGGGACTGTGACTTTGGTAGGCCCTGGCCACGTTGGGAACACACTTTCTAGAAAGAGAGTGTGTGGTGGTACCCCCTGGGGTCATCCAGGCTATTTAGGAAGAAGTGTAAGCTTCAGGGTCCATGCGCCACCACCACACCCCCCGCCACCATTCAGGGCCACTGAGGTGTCCCCTTGTGCATGAAATCACAGCCTGGGAGTTTACAGAAATCAACACATCCCAGAAAACTGCTGAGAGGGTTTCTCTGGTGATACCGGCAGGTTTGGGACGCTGTAAGAGGATTCTTTCCTCTAACTCATCCCAACCTCTCCCAAGTAAATAAATCCTAGGACAGGGAAAACAGCTGCATCAGCAGTTGCGTATGGCTGGACAGATGGACCAGTCAGAAGCAGGTTCTCAGTCAGCAGTTTAAGACACAATGTGCATGGCTGAGACCTGGCAGAAAGGAGCCCGGGGCTCATTTCAGAAAGGAACCCTGCCCAGTTCCTAGGTAAGCAATCATGGTGCATGAAACATGGAAACAACCTTGTCCCAGAATTTCCTCTCTGAGACATTTAGCCTGGAACTATGGTTTCTTAAGATTTCACAGAAAATGTGTTAAAAAAATCAGGCTTTGGATCAAATGTCTTTGTGTAAGACTAAAACTAATCAAGACCAGTATGACAGAATATTTAACATAAAAGCATCTGATGCTTTGTAAGCACCAATCCACTTTATGGTAATACCTTATCCATGTCTAGTGTGTATTTATAAAAAGCACCAATATAGGAGTAAAACACTTTTAGACGTAAACACTCAAGACAAAGCTAAGTTCCTAGTATTTTCCCACCACCTGGGAAGAGATTTTTAAAAATAAATTTGGTACTGTGAATTACCAGCTATTTTTCTTCTGATTCCTATAAAACAATTATATTGAGGTTCAGGTGGAAACTTGGCTTGTTTGCTCATCTCGGTCTACTTTTAGATCCTGGTGATAATTTTTGTTTGATTGGCTGCACCTCACAGCATGCAGGATCTTAATTCCCCAACCAGGGATGGAACCCCCAGCCCCAGCAGGAGAAGCACGGAGTCTTAACCACTGGACTGCCAGGGAAGTCTCCTAATAATGATTTCTTGAGAGTCATGCAGAATATGGCTTATTTATGTATTACTTCCTTTCTTTCTTAAGGAACCACCTTGGGGAAGTCTTAATTTTCACAACTGAAATCTACTAAAATCAGACAGGAGGATGACTTGAGCCCTGCTGGACATCACTGTCAGCTCTGGAATGCTCTTCCTGTTATGTCCAGCTGAAAGAATTCCTAACACACCGTTGCACGTACTCTACAGAACGACAGGCCTAGAGTCCCTTCAAGATTCAGAGGGGACCCATGATTTGTCACCTCATACCTGCAATCTGCCAGACACTGACGAGATTCCCAGAGGCATCAACCGAGAAACAGTAAACATTCCAGGACACCATTTTTTCAACTTCCCTGTGCTTTCCTCACTCCAGGGGGAGAAAGCAAAGAGGAAACTGCTCAAGGAAAGATACAGAACAGAGAAGTTTATTTTACACTATCCGTCCAAGAAAACAATCTCCGTAAAACCAGTGCAAAATGTGTAACAGAATCCGTAAGTGTGTCTCAGCTCTGAAAGCCCGAAGTGGTGATTCCCTCTCCCGCTCCTCCGGCCAGCAGGTGCCCCTCGGCCAAGGCCGGCCTCGGTGGGCACCGTGGACAGAAACATTCAACCCATTTGTAGCAGGTTATTTTTACAATTCATACCAGAGTGTGTACAGGGGAAGGGGAAAACCATACCGAATGAATAGGTGATCAGTGCTTAAAGTAAATACATGGGGCAGCACGGGGCGAGAATCCACAGTTTCAATAAATACAAGTGAACAAGCATGGGTGGGTCTCAACTCCATGGAGTTGTCTGCGGAGTAATTCAGCGTCGGACAGAACCTAGCAGAGCTGCCGAGCAGCGATTGATAACAACATCCACAGTAACAACGCCCTTGAGCGAGTCTGCATCCAACACATTCTGCGTTGCCAAGGTGTCAGCTCTGTTCCCCCTTCCTGTGCCCCCTCCCCACCCCCGGGAAGGGAGCGGGGTGCTGGGGCAGCTGGGCGCGGCGACTGTGAGGAAGGACGCTGGCCTTTGAGCCAGCGGTCAGGGTCCAGTGTACTCAGTACGAGGGGCGGTGTCTGTGCAAAGTGCGCTTCTCCACTTCCCGAGAAACCAGTGTAACTCCTGCCTCCGGTCACACTCCCTGCGCCCCCAAACACCAAACCAAGAGCAGTCTCAGAGTCTCGGGTGGGAGGCACCTGCCGCGCCGGCTGCCTGGTGCTCAGGATGGAGAGATTAACCGGGGCGGGCAGGCTTCAACTATTGCTTGAGAGGCTAGAAAGAACTGGGGAGACAGTGATGGTCAAAATGGACAGGCGGGCAGCTGTCTTCTTCCTGGAAAACTCAGGGCCTCAGGGCAGGCCCCCCGGTGCGACGAGAAGGAGTTTGTCCAGGGGACTCTCCAGCCGCTCCTCCGACAGGCGATAAATCCACACAAGCTCCAACGCGACTGGGACTCGACCGCAGAGGACGCAGCTGGGACACCCGGTGGATCAGCGAGGATCCAGAGCCCGGGGAGAGAAGATGCGAGGAAAAGTCTCCATCTCTGGAAGGAAAGGAAGAAAAGGGGGGAGCCCCAAAAACCAAACAACCCCCAGACTCAGGAACCTAGAAATCAGCCGCAAACATAAGGAAAATCCCAAACGCTCCCTGTCATGCGTGGACCCTCTCCTCTCTCTTCGCCACAGTCTCGGCTCATACATGAGGCCGGCCTTCCATCCAATAACTTAAAAAAGGAGGAGGGGTATATACTAAGTTTGCCTGGCTCGGGCCAGTTAGCAGCCAGTTTTTCTAGAATCTCAGTCACTGTTCAAAAATGGGGCTTGAAAATTCACGCGGAGGTCCGGAGCCTTCACGTGGAGGAGGGCAGAGCCGGAGTCAGGGTGCAGGTCCGGGGCTGGCGGGTCAGGAGGCGGTGGAGCGGGGCAGGGGGAGGGCCAGGGCCCGGGAGGGGTCGGGGGAGCGGAGGCCTGCGGGCGGCGGAGGCGGACTCGGGCGCCCGCTTGTATTGCACAGAAGGAGGGGCCGAGCTGGGCGCGGCCGCGGGTCAGTGGTCCCCGCACATGGGCAGGTTCACAAAGGTGAACACGTTGAACTCCGTCATGATGGAGAAGCACAGGAACACGCCATAGAGGAAAAGGCAGCCACACCCCAGCTTCCTGTCCAGCTGCCACTTGTTCAGGTGGACGCCAAACACCTGCGAGCAGAGAGCAGGGTCAGAGGGCCCCTGCTCCACCGCGGCCCAGACACCGCCCGCGCACTGGGTTTCCCTCTGCCGCTCCCTCTGTGTTCCTCTTGCGGCCCTGTCCCCAGCATCCTGACCTCCGACTGTCGGGGCACGGGACTCACACTTCAGCCTCTCTCTCCCACCTACGCTCACTCCCTGGGCGGGGCGGTCTCATCCGACTCCTTGGCTCTAAACCCCGTCTACGTCCTGGTGTCTCCAGCGTGGGCTTCCTCCTGAACCAGCTGTTCTGACCTCGCCCCTGGGATGTCAGTTAGGCACTGAAAACTTCAGATGTGGGAACTTGCTTCTCCTCCCAGCCCCACTTCGTTTCAGTCCTTCAACAGCCCTCCGGGGCAGAGGGGTAGTGGTGAGACCCTGTCCCAGGAATGCCCGGCCACAGCATCCTGAGACGCAGTGGACCTGCAAGCCAGCGGGCACTCGGAGGTCAGACATAAGGTCCCTACGGGCCTCACTGGTCGGTTTGTATAATGGGGCTGATACCAGTGACTACCTATTCGAGTGTGGTGAGCTCCAGATAGGGAAATTCCCACGGTAAGCACTTGTGTGACAGTTACAAGCATAATAACCCTAAGTCATACCAACTTGAAGAACCTCCTGAAAAGAAGGAATAGATGGGTTTTCACTATTGTGTAAGGCAGTATTTGATCTGGTAAAACCTTGATGTTGGACTTGCATGCTGGTCCTGGAAATGACCTCTCCTGCCCTCATGAATTCCCATTGCTCTACATACATATGTTCTTATGACAGGTGTGATTCAACAAATAGTTCCTTGAACAATTCAGGAAAAAACACATTGCATTTCTTACTGTGAAAATTCAGTAGCATACGTGTACGTTATCAGACACTTAGGGCATGTGGGTCAGTCCACATGGTGGTGTGAACTTGCTCCCACCAAAGATGTCAACTGAGTTGGAATAGTTTATGCAAGTGGATGGATGGCCAAGGCAGTGCAGTGGCATCAAAGTGCACTCACTGTCCGGCAAGTCTGTCCTCAGTCTTTGAGTGTTGGTCACATCTATGGACTTATGGAGATGTTTAGGAACCTGGAATAGTCAATTAATTGAAATATAACCTTCTGTAGCCTCAGCTTGCAGAAAAAGTGGGATTCCCACTATTGCTTTTGATAAATGTTTGTGTTTGACATGAGACAGGCTGCGCTTCTGAGAGGAGGCTGGCTCCTTTCAGAAAGGGAGGCTTTCTCGTGGGTTGCCAGGATCCACTTGTGGAGGACACAGCCATGAGATGGGACAACCTCGAGACTGACTATCCCTATCCACCGGGAGGCCAAGCCCATCTGGTGTCCAAACAGACTCTGTAGCCAGAGAACCCAAGGGGATGGGAGGAGAGGTGGGGACTGGAGAGTGGAGAGAGCTGCAGACCCACCGTGACGAAGACGGAGGCCAGGAGCAAGCCCACGGAGTAGATCAACCCCCGGCTGTTCAGTCGAATCTGTAAGAGAGGACGACAGTCTGTAAGAGAGGAAGAGTTAGGCTCCCGAAACACATCTGCCAAGTGCGGGGTGGTGAGTTCTAGTGAGGCCGAGACCCTCCTCCAGGATGGAGGGCAAATGGCAGCTGCTCAGTGGGGATGGAGCTTTCCTCGACACCCAGGGGGCACCCTGGCCTGGTCCACCCTCAGCCCCATCCCTACCCCCTCCAGCAGCTGACTGCCCCGTGGCCACTTGAATTCTCCATCCTGTGCGGCCTGATTCTTATTTCCTGGGGGACCTGACTTCCAGGGAGCTTCCAGTTTCCCAACACACAACTTTTAGGGTGAATTTAATAACGTGGGTCATGGGAGCAATATTTTGAAAAATATAACTTAAGCTTTTCTTTTTTTTTAAAGAATCTTTTAGGGCCCCTTGGGGGCGGGGCCCCAGGCACCTACCAACATTCCCCTGCGCACCTTCATACCTGCCTCTGACTAAGCTTTTTAATCTCTTTTGCATTCAAATGTCTGTGACCTTCACCTGAACTTGATAGGAAGTGGTGAGTGAGGGTTGCTATTTTGAACAGGCAAAGAAGAGTTAACATTTCAATTTCTGATATTTTGTTTGTTTTCCACGGTAACACAGTGGGGTTAACAGACAAACTTTGAAGATTAAAAAAAATACAAACAACAATTACTGGAATTCTTAGGAGCCCTGTCCAGTGCAACTTCTCATGAGGCACACATAGTCTTAGTTCCCTGATCAGAACCTGTGCCTTCAGCAATAGAAGCGCAGAGTCTTAACCACTGGGTCACCAGGGAAGTTCAAGGGCATAAGTCTTACCCCCGTGAAAAACCAGTTTCTTGGGGTCTTGCTAAGCCAGACAATCTCACCAACCATTCTCACCTCTGGACAAGACTTGGAGCCTCAACAGTGCAGTGTGGACCTAAACCAGCATTCCCCTGCTCCTGCCTCACAGATGCGAGGCCCAGGAGGTGCAAAGGCAGGCGGTCCCCATGGCGATGCCCTTCTGAGAGCAGGCAACACACTCAGATTGTTCAGCCTTGACATTTAACGTTGTTTTTATTCCTTGCCTTCAAAACTATGAATTTTCACTCTCCAACTCCCTCTTGGCAGTTGCTGGAGAGGAAACAGGAGGCTGGCTGGTTCCTGAGTCAACAGGAATTTAGGTTCCACGGATGTGTCTTTTAGTGCAAATGCACACAGAGACTGCGTCACCCCCAATTTCCCGCGTGCATATGGCTCATAAAACAGCCCCCTGAATCCTACACTGTTTGTTTAAGGACCTGAACCTCCAGCCTCAAAGACTGACTTCCCCCACATCGCAGTGTAAAAATCTCTCTATGTTTTGAGGTCAGCTCCACCCGACCAGCAAATTCTTTTAGGAAAAACAAGAAGCCCCTGGATTTTCGCTAATTGGTTTATAACTCAGAACACATGTGGTTGTCACTTTGCATTTTCTGACTTGAGTGGTTTGAACACTTGCTGAGGCTTCGGTTCCAAATGGATATGTCCAGCTGGGACTTTACACTATGTAACGTCACAGGATGGGAGGCTTTCCTTGAACAGTGACATGAGGTAGGAAAGTGAATGAGAACTGGAACAGCAGCTTTCTCCCCAGAGTGTGTGCACACACACGGGCTGCACTGAGTTCTCGCAGCAGCTCCTTGAAGTGTCCTGAGCTGCCTAAAGGCAAGACAGCTCAGGCTCCAGGAAGTGGAGCCCTTGGCCCCGGTGAGACTCAGCTCACACTGTGTGTGTGTAAGACTCAGCTCACACTGTGTGTGTGTAAGACTCAGCTCACACTGTGTGTGTGTAAGACTCAGCTCACACTGTGTGTGTGTGCGTAAGACTCCGCCACACTGTGTGTGTGTGTGTTGGGGGTTTCCCCACTGTGTGTGTGTGTAAGACTCAGCTCACACTGTGTGTGTGTAAGACTCAGCTCACACTGTGTGTGTGTGTGTTTGGGGGGGTGCAGGTTTCCCCACTCATCCGAGCAATTCTGCGACACCAGCTAGTTGTCCTTCATCTGACACTACCTACCTGGAGGTGCCATCAGATCCCACAAGCTGGGGCTCAGCCCTGCAAGGTTGTGTCCCTCACCCCTACTGGAGATGCAGGTACAAGTCCAGGTTGTCACCTGTGCTTCTGATAAGCAGGTTATAGATCTGAGGTTCACACAGAGGTTCCAAGAGGGAACCCCCTCCTCGGGTTCAGCTGGTTTGCCGGAGGGCTCACAGAGCTCAGAGAAACCCATTCCTTACTGTCACTGGTTGTTAAAACATGATGTGACTCAGATGGATGAGACACACAGGGCGAGGTGAGGGGAAAGGCTCAGGGTTCCAGGCCTCTCGGGACCCACTCTCCCCGCATCTCCACGTGTTCCCAGAAGCTCTCTGAACCCCATCGTTTCGGAGCTTTTACGGAGGCCTCGTTACAAAGGCACAATTGATTAAATCTACTGCTGCTGCTGACTGAGGGACCTCCAGCCCCTCTCTCTGCCCCAGAGTTCACAGTATTGGGATGCAAAGTTCCAGCCCTCAAATCACAGGGTTGGTTCTCTTGCCAACCAGCTCCATCCTTAGGTGCTGTCCCAAAGTCACCTCATTCACATAAAAAGATAATTCTGAGGCTTTTAGGAGCTCTGTGCTAGAAAAAAAGACCAAACATATATTTCTTACTACAAATTGCAGTATTACTCAAGGCCATGGAGCTGGTAGGGGTCATGTCTGCACTAAGAATCAGGCTTCAGCCTGAAAATTCTAGACTCTTTGGTGCAAGAGTCTAGAAGGGGACTGTGCAAGGCACAGGGGAAAAGCCAGGGCTTTCTCCACCTGCTAAGAACTTTCGAGGGTGGCATCTGGGCCCCTCTTACCATCTTGGTGGGGCCACCTGCCTCCCTGGAGCCCACGCTGGCATCTGTGGTCTGTGTCTGAGGCACCTCCTTGAGCCCTGGAAGTGCCACCACCCACCTCTCTGGTCACACCTGTCTACCCCCTACTGGGTTCCCCCCCACACCCGGAATGAAGTCCTCACCCCACCCTCATCTTCAGAATGGAGTGGTTTCGGGAGGGATCTAAAACTTTGATGGTGAGATGGAATCTGCTTCAGGCCTTGGTGACCCAGGAAAGACCCTACCTCCCCCCAAATATCACCTAATTTTTCCTAAAATCTCAAGAGCAAGATTCATCTTAAGGGGATTGGGTGGTATCATTGCAGCCCCCAGGGCCTTGTTAGAACAGCCTTGAGAAGAACCATTCATTGCGAAGCCCCCAGATGCTCCCCAGTTACCTCACTAGGTCCATGGGAACAGTCTGTGGCCAGGCCCTGGCAATGGTTTCTGCATTTTCCTGGTTTCCATGGTGTCAGTATTCCTGCCAAGGTCAAGTGCAAGCTGTTCACGTGGCCTCACTGAGAGTGGAGTGGGGAAGGGCTCCATGCAGCTGTCCCAGGGTTGGGGCAGGGTTTGCAGAAAAAGAAAAACTGGTCTGGCAACTGGAACAGAAACTGTATACCAGGAGATTGACTTAGGAATGTTTATCCTCGAGAACATTCTTCCTCGAGTAGGAAGATGTGGTACCATTGAAAACTGACTGGTAGGTTCTGGGTGCACTGGCTGAGTCGGACACAGCTTTGCTCTCAGAGGGTGAGGGAAGATGACACCCCCCTCCCCAACTATGTGACTGAAGAGGCAGTGGACATGGCTGGGTGGCTTCTCGGAGGAGGGGACAGCTAGCGGACAGATGGCATTAGAAGGAGGAACTTGGGAAGAGCCTTCCTCCATGTGGTCAGTCTTTCTGGAAACAGGATGCTCATCCTTGCCCTTTCTGGCTGACCACCCCCCAGCCTCCTTCCCTGGACAGTTTCTCACTATATGACATTAGGGTATGGTCCTGGTTCTCTTCTCTGTTTACACTTACTCCCTGTATGAGCTTTAGGCTTAAAAACCCATACTAACACTCTTGACTGTCAGAGGTCTTGCCTCTGAATTTATCTCATTGTCTGCCTGATGTCTCCACCAGGACGACCCTCAGGCACATCACACCTCATCTGGTTCTAAGCACAACCCTGGACACTGTCTCTTAAATATGCACTCCCAACCTGGCTCCCCTGGGGGCTCTTTCCCCCCAAGTCACATATTCTGCTTTACCTACAAATGCTTCATAACTGGTCTGGCTGCCCTCTGTCTTGTCTGGCTCCACGATTGTGTGATCACTCACCTAGAGCCAGACATCCTGGAATGCGAAGTCAACAGGGCCTTAGGAAGCATCACTACAAACAAAGCTAGTGGAGGTGATGGAATTCCAGTTGAGCTATTTCAGATCCTAAATGATGATGCTGTGAAAGTGCTACACTCAGTATGCCAGCAAATTTGGAAAACTCAGTGGCCACAGGACTGGAAGAGGTCAGTTTTCATTCTAATCCCAAAGAAAAGCAATGCCAAAGAATGCTCAAACTACCGCACAATTGCACTCATCTCACATGCTAGCCAAGTAATGCTCAAAATTCTCCAAGTCAGGCTTCAATAGTACATGAACTGTGAACTTCTAGATGTTCAAGCTGGATTTAGAAAAGGCAGAGGAACCAGAGATCAAATTCCCAACATCCATTGGATCATCAAAAAAGTGAGAGAGTTCCAGAAAAACATCTATTTCTGCTTTATTGACTATGCCAAAGGCTTTGACTGTGTGGATTACAACAAACTGTGGAAAATTCTGAAAGAGATGGGAATACCAGACCACCTTACCTGCCTCCTGAGAAATCTGTATTCAGGTCAAGAAGCAACAGTTAGAACTGGACATAGAACAACAGACTCCTTTCTGGGAAAGGAGTACGTCAAGGCTGTATAAAGTCACCCTGTTTATTTAAATTATATGCAGAGAACATCATGAGAAATGCTGGACTGGATGAAGCACAAGCTGGAATCAATATTGCTGGGAGAAATATCAATAACCTCACATATGCAGATGACACCACCCTTATGACAGAAAGTGAAAAA